CAGATAAGTAGAGATCCATTGTTGTGCCTTGGATGGGTCTAGCAAGCTTTTAAGACCCTAGGCACTACGTACTGGGTAAGAGGTAGTACAGAAGCACTAAGCATGTTATGAGGCCATTTAATTGGAATGTCCCATGAAAGTATTACCCTAAACTTCCAAAGCAAGGATTCAAATCCTATGAGGTGTTTGGTGTATATAAGCAGCCTCAGCAGCCACTCTCTCTTTTTGTCACTGTTTTAAATGTATCACACTTTTGCCAGCTGAACTTTTTACAGGTGTACAATTTATTGACAGCAATTACAATCACTGACCATGCAATTCTACCTTGAATCAGTGCATTTTTTTCATCACTGTTAACCACCCCCCTTGTCTCCTTTCCTGCCATCCCTGTTGTTGTTCAGTGCCATCAAGTTGGTTCCGACCCATAACGACCCTGTATGTTGTTGTTGTGTGCCGTGGAGTCAGTTTTGACTCATAGCCACCCTGTACAGGGTTTCCAAGGCTGTAAATGTTTACGGGAGCAGAAAGCCTCCTCTTTCTCCTATGGAACAACTGGTAGTTTCGAACTGCTGACCTTGTGGTTCGCAGCCCGATTCGTAACCACTACGCTACCAGACCTCCTTATAGCGACCCTGTATAGGGTTTCCTATACAGGTGAGCTTGAACCGCCAATCTTGTGGTTCAGACCAACTTTGCAGTCCAGCGCAGGTAACCACTGTTAAATTTACTTTCTATACATATACCTGTTCTTGTCTTTAATGTAAGGGGGCTCCAAACACTTTTTGGGTAAATCCTGTTATCTTTAAATTCCATTTTTCCATAATCAAGAGACTCATTTCTCTAGCTGGCTGCAACAAATCTTACCAACCATTGCTCTCACAACCCTCCATACTCATTTGGGTCCAATAATCCATTACAGTGGCTGTGTAGAACTCAAAGACAATACTCACAGTTATTTTGTTTATTAAGGAAGTTAACAGGTTACAATACAGGATCAGAAAATCCTCAGGGCACAGTTGTTCCAGTCAGCTGCTGATATACGCCCACAGGGCACACCACTCTACCGTAAGCCTCAGCCTGAAGACACTCGGCTCTAGTTCTTTGGGTCAGCAAACGTAGCTCCCTCACTTAACTGCCTGGAGGCACCCCAATCTATAAGCACGCTTCCTGCCCAAAGTCTCTCAGCTTTACTTGCCGTGTGGACTGGGAAGTCCATTGCACTGTCTCATGCTCTGGTTCTTGGTTCTGCTGCTGCTGCTCTGTCACTCCAGCGTCACAGCTTGCTGTCCCTGAGTCAAGGAGGTTCAGTGTGCAGGGATCTTGGAGTCCAAATGATGCGCTCCACTCCTGGCTCGCTCTTCTTGATGTTAGTGAGATTCCCTTTCCTGCTTCTGATGAGGCTCATTTTATACATGTTAGAGTTCCAGGTTTTTACAATCCCAGTTAACCCTATTAATCACTCACAAGTGAATCATATATTCCTGTCAGCATCTTCTCCCGCCTTCTCTTACCTAGATCCATCAGAACAAAATTGTTTGGTGGAAGTTTACAAAAACTTTGGCTAGAAAAGACATTAAATAATTCATTGGCCCATTCTGGGTTTGTAGTATCCATTGCACAAGGGTAAGTAAAAGAAGTATTGCTACTAGGAGTCCTGGTGTGGCACTGTTGGTTAAGAACTAAATTGGTAACTGCAAAATCGGTGGTGTAAACCCATCAACTGCTCCTCGGAAACCAGTACAAGTTCACTGTGAGTCAGAACTGATTCAACTGGACTTGACAGTAATAGCAACAGTACAACTACAGTTCGTACATGTATGGGTTTATTCCAAACAAAACATGTGTAAACATGCCTCTGCAATTAGTGAATGGCTGCAGACAAGTTCTTTCAGCAATACACTTGTCTTAGTCTCTTTATGATGCCTTCTGAAAAAAGATTCAATCAAAACAGTGGCCCCCCAAGCGGATCTATTGGACCAGTTAAATTCAAGACAGAGAGGATAGCTCAGAAGGTTAGAGAAACTGTTTTTGGGATTCTAGAGGGGGTAATCTTGATAGATGTTTCAAAGGACTGAGGACAATGACTATGGTTTATTATGAAGAAGTTTTAAGAAACTGGAAAAGTGCACTGGTGAGAAAAAAGACCAGGAAAGTTGCACTGTGGAATTTTCTTTCATTATGACGATGCACCCCCTCATTCTTTGAGGGCAGCCAGGGCTGTCCTATGAAAATTTCATCAGGAAACCTTACCCCATCCATTCTACAGTCCTGATCTTAACGTCTTCAGACTTTTTGTTCTAAAAACTCAGAAGAACATTGAAAAGGAACATGATTTGAGTCCCTCAAATATACCAAAACTGTTATTTGAGGAGGGCAGGACTCTTTAGGGAAGGGTTGTTGTTGTTAAATTATATCAAGATGGTTTCAACTCATAGTGATACTTCCTAGGGTTTCTGAGGCTGTAAATCTTTGTGGGAGCAGAAAGCCTCACTTTTTCCTGGAGCATCTGGTGTGCTAGAACCACTGACCTTGTGATTTGCAATCCAGTGCTTATCCTACAGAGCCACCTTGCTCCCCTGGGGAAACATCACTTTCAGAAGAAATATGTGACCTAGATGGAGGACATGTCAAGAAACAGTAACTTCACTTTTTGACATTTTTTGTTTAATAAAGATTTCTATGATTTTATAGCAATATTTTTTCTTACATTTGCACATATGTACCACATTTTGTTTATCCATTCATCAACTGATAGGCATTTAGGTTATTTATACCTTTTGGCTGTTATGAATAATGGTGCAGTGTATATTGGTGTACACATCTCTGTTTTCAAGTCTTCTGGGTGTGCCTAGGAGTGGAATAGCTGGGTCATATGGCAGTTCTGTGTTTCATATTTTGAGGAACCACTACATTGTTTTCCACAAGGCTGTATCATACTGTATTTCACCAGCAGTGGATAAAGATTTCACTTTCCCACACTCATGCTAAGATTTGTTATTTTCTGTTTTTTGCTGTTAAGTGCTGTGTAGTCAGTTCTGACTCATAGTGACCCTGTACAGAGTTTCTAAGGAGCAGCTAATGGGTTTGAACTGAAGCCTATGGTTAACAGTTCAGTGCATATCCTACAGCGCTACATCAGGACTCCTTAGCCAGCTTGTTGTTGTTATGTGTCAAATTAGTTCCGACTTGTAGCAACCCTGCATGGATTTCTGAGGAGTGGGTGGTGAGTTTGAACTGCTGACCTTGAGGTTCAAACCAACCTTGAAGTCAAGTGTTTATCCTACAGCACCACACCAGGACTCCTAGTGGGTGTGAAGTGCTCTCATTGTGGTTTTGATTTGCCTTTCTCTCCGATAGTTAATGTCATTGAGCATCTTTTCATATGGTTGATGTCCATTTGAGTGTTCTCTTTGGTGAAATGTCTATCCAAGTCCTTTGCTCATTTTATGATTGATTTGTCTTTTTGTTGTAAAGTTGTCAAAGTTTTGTATATATTTTGGTTATTAGATTCTTGTCAGATATATGGTTAAATACTGCTTTTCTTTAGGGTATTGAATAATTTAGATCTGTCTGTCCTTCCATTTTTTTATAAGCTATCTCACTGGTTGCAAAATGTCCTTAATTATTGTAGTGTTCTTCATTTTAAAATATTTATTTCTTGAGAGAAGCTATTTTTTTTTTAAAGTCTTAAATCTAAGATTTCTATATGTATTGTTTGCAAAGGTTGCCAATCTTCTCAATGATCCCTTAATGAAGCAGTTGTGCAAAAGGGTGTTAAAATGTGCACAGCTCTAGAGGAAGAAGACCCTATAGCCTGATCTACAACTTGGTATACTATGAAATTAGTATTATCATTTCCGGTCATTCTCACAGGTGTCTCATTTTGGAGGATTAATTACATATGGTCAAATTATTTAGGAGGCCAAGTTAGTGGAGTCTAGACATATAACTTTCTGATAATCTCATTTGGTCCTGAGAAATTAATGGATTGACCACATGATCCTCAAGTTGTCTTCTGTTTATAGAATTTTTCCTAATTGATTTCAGTAAAGACTGAGAACAAACAGTATGAGCCCAGGGTATTCTTTTGTCTGGTTGAGAGGATGTTGCTTGTTTTTGAAATCAGCTTTAGACCAAAAGATTTTACACTCACCAACTTTAAAGTATTGCCTAAGGAAATTACTTTATACTTTATCATTCATTTTCTCCTACCCCGATATTGATCATGGCATACATTGTTTTTACATGTTATAGATGAAAACAGTAAAGATACAGTAATTTCCCACTTCTCAGAGGTAGAACTTGAAATAGAATTTTAGGCCTTTTTAATTTAATGTGCAACTTAAAAATCCTCCCCTCCCACCCCCGGGAATAATCATGATGATAATGCCACAGCCATCAAGTTGATTGTGACTCATAGTGACCTTATCGGAGAGAGTAAATGTTCATGTGGGCAGCTGGTGGGTTTGAACCACTGATCTTGCGGTTAGCAGCCCATATGCTATCAGAGCTCCTTAATGATAAAAACAGTTAGCTTTTTTTGAAGTATGTTCAGGCACTATTCTAAGTCCTTTCTTGGTTTATCATGTTCTGATGTGATGCTATATGATAAGCACTAGACTGCTAATTGCAAGGTCAGTAGTTCAAACCCACCAGCTACTCCTCAGATACTTTATATAGAGTCGCTGTGAGCTGGGTGCTGTTAGTACCCAGAGTTTACAGTTGAGGAGGCTGAGACAGAGAGAGGTTAATTTGCCCAAGATGACACAGCAAGTCAGGATGTGAATGCAGGCGGCCCAACTCCAGAGCCCACATTTTTATTTCCTAGGCTATACTAGGTCTGTAAAGACCATAGTTCATTTGAAAAGGTTAACAAAAAGTAGTCTAGTGATAATATATGCCACTTCTTTTTAACAGCATGTGCTCCCTTTAAAAATTATTCTACCTTTCATAATGATGTTCTTCAGATTTGGGGGACAATTAAACTGTTATATTTTTAGGTATCTGGGGTATTGGAGTTGCAACCCAGAAAGTTAACTTGAATCAGATTCCTCTTGGCCGAGATTTCCACAGTCTGGTGATGAGAAATGATGGAGCGCTTTATCACAACAATGAGGAGAAGAACAGACTGCCAGCAAACAGCCTTCCACAGGAGGGAGACGTGGTGGTGAGTTTTCTTTGAAGTTGTTTTCCACTGTAAATTATTAAACTTAAAATGATTTTCATCTATACAGTGTACCTGGGAGTTTGTGGTTTGAATTTCAAATATTGACTAATGAGGTGACACATTTTCCGAAGACGGCACTCTATGTCGAAGCTGCTGTCTGACCTGATAGCCTGCTACTTTCTAGAGCTGCCACTGGCCAGCTCTGTCAGCCTGTATTTCAGTTTAGGGAGATTCTTGACCACATCAGAGAAACCTTGGCTTGTAATGTTAAAATTTGCTGACCCCTGTGTGAGAAAATAATAGGTGCATTTGGGGTTAGAGATCTCTTAGAGCAAAGTTTCAATTCATTATTTAATTTGTTATGAGCTTCTCTTAATTAATTTATTATAGCATTTTTTCAAGAGTTGGTTCGCATTACATTTAATCTGTTAAACTTCCTTTACTTTCAGAGCGCTTCAAAGAATTGGAATCAGGATTATTGTTGTTGTAGCTAAGTGCTATAGAGTTGGTTCTGACTCATACAGACCCTGTATAGGGTTTCCGAGGCATTAAATCTTCACCAGAACAGAAAACCTCGTATTTTTCCTGCAGAGTAGCTGATGGGCTCAAACCATAGAATTTATGGTTCTCAGCCCAGTACTTATTTTATGGAGCCATCAGGTGCCCACGACTAGATTAGAGAAAAGTTTTTTAGACAGTAAAGGATAGAGTTATGCACATTAAGTGCTGTTGAGTTGGTTCCAACTCATAGTGACCCTGTGTCGGGTTTCTGTGGAGTGGCTGGTGAGTTTGAATCACCAACCTTCGGTCCAAACAACCTTGTGGTCTAATGTTTATCCTACAGCGCCACACCAGGACGCCATATACTTTAATAAGACCTTATTTTTATTCTCAACTAGATAGATGTATCTCATTGTCAAAGCTCCCTTGTTGAAAATGCAAAGGTATTTGTTTTTTAGTTTCCTTTTCAGAGAACTTTATATAAGGATAAGTCAAAAAGTATTGCTATAGAATCCTATATTAAGCAAAACAGATTAAAATATGAAGCTGTTGTTCCTTGACATGTCTTCCTTCTAGCTCTGTACACTTCTGAAGGTGACGTTTCCATCTCTTTAACTCTTACCTGGAGAAACCTGTACTCTGCAATTTATACTATGTGAAAACGGCAGTGTTGGCATCCTTTTGGGACTCAAGTTGTGTTCCTTTTACATTTTTCTTGAGTTTGGGGAACAAATGGAAGCCTGAAGGGGCAATATCAGGGCTGAAGGATGGATGAGGTGAGGTTTTCCAGTGAAATTTTTATAGGACAGCTATAAAGAATGAGCAGGTGCATTCCCATGACTGGGGAAAAATGCCTCGCTATAATTCCTGGCTTTTTTTCTCATCAGTGCAGTTTTCAGTTTTCTTAAAACTGTTTCATATTAAGCCCCCATGGTCATCCTGTGTCCTTTGAGACTGTCAAGATGACCCCTTTGAAATTCCAGAAAGTAGTCATCATAACCTTCTGAGCTGACTTTTCTCTCTTGAATTTTAATGGCCCAGCAGATTCCCCCCAGAAGCCATTGATTTCGTTGGACCTTGTTCTCTGATTCACACTGATAAATCAAAGATCTGTCCCTGCTTACGATTCATTTCTTAAAATTGTCTCAGTACCTTGGATCTTGTTTGAAAGGCTGATGGAAAGCTCAGCTCTTTGAGCTAGCTAATCTTCGTGCAGCACTCTTGGCACCCATCAAACTAAAAGCTTGCTGAGGCCAATAAGGTCACTTAAAACTGAAAATGCCGTCCATGTAGACTCTAATCTCTGTAGCTGTCACATCAATGGTAATTCTTCTTTCACCACTTTCTGGACTCAAGCCACACTTTTTTCATTTGTTTAAAGTTGCTGGTCGTCCCCCTCTTGGCTCATCTTTGAGGTTTTCCTTAAAATGCTACATGGCAAATAAGTCCAACATGTCAATATACAGAGAGCTAGCTACATGGCAGATAAGTCCAAGATGGCCATATACGGACAGATAGCTATATGCAGATAGTTCCTCCATGTACATATACAGAGAGCTAGCTGTATATGCCTGTAAACTTGTTGCAGAATGTCAATATATTTGGGAAGATACTACTTGAGTTTTGTTAAAAATTTGGTATTAGTCCTAACCTCAAAATTATATTTTCCATGGCACAAAAAATATGTTTGCTTGTTTGTTTGTTTTTAAGGTACCCTAATGAGACTTGGAGTCCTGGTGTGGCACTGTGGGTTAATGCGCTGGACTGTAAAGTCAGTTTGAACCACAAATTCGGCAGTTCAAGCTCACCAGCTGCTTCTCAGAAACCCTATACAGGCCTGCTTTGGGTCAGAACCGACTCGATAGCACTTAACAACAGTGAAACTTAGACAAGTGTATTAGTGAGAGAACTTGCCGGCAGCAATTCCCAGATCACCGAGATATGTTTAAACACATTTTATTTGGGGTGTGGCACCGTAGGATAAACACCGGACTGCTAACTGCAAGGTCGAAGGTCGGTGGTTCAGAACCACCAGTGGCTCCTTGAAAACCCTGTGCAGGCTTGCTATGAATCGGAATCAACTTGACAGCACTTAACAAAAACAACATATATGAACTGGAATTCTAGTAGCAATACTTTTTGACTCACCCTTGTACACCAAGTTCAAGCTATTTGCTAATGATTGAAAGCAGAATCCTAAATCTTCTTTTGCAAAGGTGCCCTTAAACACTAAATCTTGGACTCCTGTGTCTGGTGTCTAGTTGAAAGGAATCTGGATAATTAAGAAAGCGTCTAATCATAAGATATAGACAAGGTAAATCCTGGTTACTGAATTAAATAAACATAATGGTATTTTGGAAAGCATGAAGAAAGATATAGAAATCACAAATTTTAACTATGATCTGGTCTCCTCTTTTCTGCAATTAAAAAATAAGAACATTGATTTTTAAGTCTTGAACTTTTTTTTTTTTTCTAAAATTGACAAAAGAAAGAAAAAAAAGACAAAAGGCATAAACTGTTTTCACAATCAGCTTTTCCCTGTTCCTTCTGAATAGTCGTTTCTATATTTGTAGGTCATTGTCGTATGTCCATGATATGGAACATCCTTATTGAAATTATTTCTTTAAAGAAAATTGTGAGGTTAAGTTGATGCTGTTGACATGTGTATTTGAAAAGATGCAATTCAAACATAAGAAAAGATCATCAGTGACAGATGTTTTTCTGTGCTGAAGCAGTGGGCTTGTACCATGTGCTATTATTGCCTTTCTGTCTCATTATTAAGATGATTGATACTACAAATGAACAGATTTAATGATGATGGTTGTAATTTGTGAACATTATGAAGTTAGATTTGGAATTTTAATGTCTGTTCTGATACAAGGAAGACTAAAGAAAATGAAATACATGCAGAATCAAGAGAAGTAAACTGTTACTCTACTGTATTAACTTTACCTTCCGGATTCAAACACTTGAAAACAAACATCACCAAATTGGTGGCAGCGGCATGGCAAAAGTAGAATGGATTATAAGATGCAAAAAAATATATATTTTCAGGTGTGTATAATTTCAGTTATGTGCCATTTTCTGAAGAGGAATCGAGAAAAATAAGCTCTCAATGCCTAACCAAATGACTATATTCATACAAAAATCATACTGTACCAACAAGGTTGCTGGCAGCACTAGCTGAAGCTAATTTTTGCTTTTATAGATAGCTGTGAAATCTGCAGATTCCATTCTAAAAATGTACTCTTTAGTTTATCTTTAGAGAAGTTTTACAAACATTCTGTGTAACAATAAGAACTTGCTGTTGTTAAGTGCCTTCAAGTCACTTCCAACACATAACCACCCTGTATAGGGTTTCTGAGGAGCCACTGATGATTTTGAACCACTGACCTTGTGGTTCAAACCAGCCTTGTGGTCCAGTGCTTATCCTAAAGCACCACCCCAGGACTTTTGTTGTTGTTGAGTGCCATCAAGTCATTTCCAACTTATAGCAACCCTGTGAGCAGAAAGCCTCATCTTTCTCCTGCGGGGTGAATGGCAGGCTCAAACCACGGACCTTGCGGTTTGCAGTCAGGGCTTATCATATGGAGCCTCCGTGCTCTAGGACCTGGCATTTATTATGGGCCAGGCACTGTTCTCATGCCTGGCAGGGATTCACTTGTTTAATTCTCATAGTGACCTTGAAAGATAGGTAGTAGTATTATCTCTATTTTATAGATGAGGCTTTCTACTCCCATAAAGATTTACACCCTCGGAAACCCTATACAGGGTCGCTATGGGTCGGAACCGACTCGATGGCACATAACAACAACAACAACAACTTCTTGTTGGAGTCCTGGTGTGGTGCTATAGGATAACAATGGACTGCTAACTGCAAGGTTGGTGTTTCAAACCCTCCAACCACTCCTAGGAAACCCTGTACAGTGTCATTATGAGTCATAGCTGACTCCATGGCACTTAACAATTTCTTGTTTGAAGGAGTGCTAGGCTTGCAATCAAGGCAGCCTAATTTCATAGCGTGGTCACTAAACTTGCAGATAATTATTGATAAATGCACAGAAAATGTAGGATTTTTTTTTTGGTATTAGTATGGCAGAATCAAGCCCAGTTCTAGATCATATAAAAGGACAGATTTGTTACTGTTAAGTGCCATCAAGTTGGTTCCTACTTATAGGGACCCTATACAGACAGGGCTTCCTGTAAATCTTTATGAGGTTTAAAAAACAAAAACAAAAAAACTCTTTCTCCCATAAAAGGACAGATTAGGTTAGAAAATAACTTCTGGGGGCAATGAGGGGATCTCACAATCTCACATTTTTCCTCACTGCTTTCTTTGCTGTTAAGCTGGATTGTTATTGTTGTTAAGTGCTATTGAGTCGGTATGGATTCATAGTGACCATGTATAAGGTTTCCGAGAAGCAGCTGGTAAGCCTGAACCACCGACCTGGAGTAGGAATCAATTTGTTGGCAACGATACAGGTTTGGAATATGAACTCCTGGATTGTCTGAAGTCCTATAAAGAGAATAACACATTTTCTTTTTTATGTAATTATATTTTTGGTTTTAAAAATAAAAACAGACATCCTTATTAGAAAAGCTAACTCCAGTAATTAATTAGCTTTATTAAGTACATAAAGTGAAATAAAGGTAATCTTGGTGCTATAGGGTTAGCACTGGTCTGTGAACCACGAGGTTGGCAGTTCAAACCCTCCAGCCAACCATTGGAAGCCCTATCCAGGGTTGATATGAGTTGGAACCAATTTGATGGCACTTAACAACAAACAACAATGTACAGTTTATCTTTCTCCTTTTCTGTTGTAAATAATTGTTTGATTCTAGTGACATTGTAGCACAGGGACTGATAACCACAAGGTTGGCAGCTCAAATCCACTGACTGCTCTGTGGGAGAAAGAAGAGGTTTTTCTGCTCCCATAAAGGTTTATAGCCTTGGAAACCCCATTCAGGGTCACCATGAGTTGGAATTGATTTAATGGCAGTTAGTTTGGTTTTGGTTTTGTCTGGCTTTGCTAAGAAACAAAGAGAAACTTAAGCAGCCTTTAACACATTGACTTCTTTGGGCCTCTGCTGTCTTAACTGAAAGGTGACAATGTTAAGACAAAATGAACTATAAAATCTTTTTTTAACTTTTAAAAAGCTTTTAAGTTATATAATTTATCCACAATCAGAAATCTTTGAAGTGGTTTGTTTTTCCATCTGTGGGGATTTCTTTTTAGAAAGAGCTCTTCCATCTATTCTTAACTCTTCCAAGTGAAGATCTGTTTTTGTCATCAGCCAGTAACTATTATAAGATTTTAGAGAGAAGTAGTTGTTGTTGCTAAGTGCCATTGAGTGGATTCTGACCCACAGCAACCCTGTACAGGATTTCCAAGGAGCAGCTGGTGAGCTTGAACCACTGACTTTGCAGTTCAAACGACTTGGCAGTCTGACACATTATCCCACAGCGCCACACCAGGATTCCGAGATAGAAGTAGTATGGCATGGTAATTAAGATCAAGTATTTTGAAACCATTAAATTGGGCTTAAATTCTAGCTCTGCCAATTGATAGGTCAGTGGTTTGAATGCATCAGTAGCTCTATGGGAGACAAAAGACCTACCAATCTGCTTTTACACAGATTATAGCAAAGTAGAACTGTGGCAGTTCTACTTTGTCCTGTGGGATTGCTAGTGGATCACTGTGAATTGGAAATTGACTCCATGGTACACAACAGTAGAATATGGACTAGGTATTGTCTAGTACTGTATTCATAATTATTACTGATCAACTTGATTTTGATTTTTGTGCCATCAATATTCAAAATTTTACATATATATGTATATGTGTGTGTAGGGAATGTGGTGGCGCAATACTATAAGCTCTGGGTTGTGAAACACAAGGTCAGCAGTTTGAGCCCACCAGCTGCTCCACGAGAAAAGATGAAACTTTCTACTCTTAAAAAGATTTACAGCCTTGGAAACCCTATACATGGTCGCTATGAATCAGAACTGACTCAACACTTAATAACATAACATATATATGTGTATATATGTATATATATGAATGCTTAATCTTTTGATCTGTTTTTCTACTTTTCAATTTAATAATAATTTGAAGAAATTATTCCAAAAAGAGGTGACCCAGCAGAATGTAGAAATCAAACAGTATCATTAATATCACATGTAAGTAAAATTTTGATAAAGATGATTTAAAAAATAGTTACAACAGTACATCAACAGGGAACTGCCAGAATTCCAAAGAAAACATGGAACTAGGGATATCATTACTGATGTCAGATGAATCTTGGTTGAATGCAGAGAATACCAGAAAAACATTTGCTTGTGCCTTATTGACTATAAAAAGGTTTCTGACTGTGTGGATCATGACAAGCTATGGATAATAATGCAAAGAATGGGTATTCCAGAACACTTAATTGTGCTCATGAGGAACCTGTATATAGAACAAGAGGCAGTTGTTAGAACAGAACAAGAGGACACTGAATGCTCCAGAGTTGTATCCTTTCACTATATTTATTTAATCTTATACTGAGCAAATAGTCTGAAAATCTAGGTTATATAAAGAAGAAAGTGACATCAGAATTGAAGGAAGACTCATTAACAACCTGAGATATACAGGTGATACAATCTTGCTTGCTAGAAGCAAAGAGGACTTTACTTACTGATGAAGATCGGAGATTACAGCCTTCAATATGGGTTGCACCGCAATGTAAAGAACACAAAAATCCTCACAACTAGACCAGTAAACAACATCATGATAAATAGAGAAAAGATTGAAGTTGTCAAAGACATTATTTCTCTTGGATCCACAGTCAACACTCATGGAAGCAGCAGTCAAGAAATCAAACGACATACTACATTGGGCAAATCTGCTGTATGAGACCTATTTAAAGTGTTCAGAAGCAAAGATGTCAGTTTGAGGACTAAGGTGCACCTAACTGAAGCCATGGTATTTTCAATTGCCTCGTATGCATGTGAAAATCGGCAGTGAATAAGGGAGCCCACAGAAGAATTCATGCATCTGAATTGTGGTGTTGGAGAAGAATATTAAAAGTATCATGGACTGTCAGAAGAACAAACAAATACATTGAAGTTGAAGAAATACAGCCAGAATGCTTAGGAGCCAGGATGGTAAGACTTCACCTCATAATTTGGACATATTATCAGGAGAGAACCGTCCCTGTGAGAAGGACATCATGCTTGGTAAAGTGGAAGGTCAGTGAAAAAGAAGAAACCCCAACAAGATGGATTGACACTGTGGCAGCAGCAGTGAGCTCATATATAACAACGATTGTGAGGAGGGCGCAGGACTGGGCAGTATTTTGTTTTGCTAACTCAACAGCACCTAACAGCAATAACATGTTTAGTTGTAAACACCAGCTTTGTCCTTGTAAGGCATTTGACATATTTGAAACCAAGGTAAAGAGATAAGAAATGTATGATTTCATTTTGGAAGTCAAATGTATAAAGACATTCTTCACAACTTGAAAACAGTGACAACATTGGGGTAAACCCCAATGCTGAAAATCTTACTGTTTTTCTCCCTTAAGATCAGGTTGTACATAGAAGGATCAATGTGCTATACTTGTATCTTCTTAATTTCAAAATACTAGGTTTTAAACTAAATGCTCATTTATTTTACCTCTAATATAGACTGTTGATATTCATCTTTCTCCCATCATGTAATCACAACTGAACTTTTTAAGTAGCCTAGCAGATTGTCAGTCTTTAATGAAAGCTATTGTGACTCTGCTTTCTAAATTTTTCATGTTTCCATGGTTCCCAACTAGTGCTTTCTGAATTTTCAGATTTTTATGGCACCTTTATGTTTTAATACTTCTAAATTTTTTCTTTCTTTCATAGGGTATTACATATGACCATGTAGAACTAAATGTGTATTTGAATGGAAAAAATATGCATTGTCCAGCATCAGGTATACGAGGAACAGTGTATCCAGTTGTTTATGGTAAGCTAAAGTATTTCTTATATATCATTACATGCTCGTATATGTTAATTCTTGCTTGGCGTTTTTTTTACTAACTTTATAACTTTCATTCAGAAGTTGGGGCAAATTGTTAATAACCTTTTTGTATGGAATGTACTCACTAACATATCATGGTCCTGATTTGTTAGGAGTAAGAATAGGTTATTTTTATTTGATTTAAAAATAAACAAAAAACTACTTTGCTAATAAATTCAGTGATTATATTTAAATATGTAATAATCATATCCTCTTTTTTTTATCATCTATCCTTATATTCTGGAGAGTTCCAGAAAGCATCATGGAATTTACAAAGATCTTTTCATCAGTTGTTAGCAAGGACTAGATGACCAGGAAATAAAATTATAAAGAATATATCAGAAGTTTTTGCAGATTGAGATGCGTATTTAGAAAACTACCTACATCTTAAAATTTTTCTTAAATAAATTAGTGACTTAGAATAGTTTCCTATCAATTAATTGACCTGTGATAACCATGTTTGTTATACAAGTATGCTCCTCCAAGAATTAGACTACTTAAAAATGACTCTATATCACTTATTTTAATTTTCACTGTAGAAAATTTCAGACATGTACAAAATCATTATTTTATTTCACTTTATATTTTATGTTCTCAAATTTAAATCAACAGGTATATGATTTTTCTGCCTATGATTTTAATAGGTCTAAAAGCAGTTCCAAACTACCAGCTGTTCCGTAGGAGAAAGATGAGGCTTTCTGCTCCCGTAAAGATTTACAGCCTCGGAAACCCTGTACAGGGTCACTATGAGTCGGAACAGACTCCAGAGCACATAACAACAACAAAAGTATTTCTCATTAGAAATATTGCGTGCCTTACTTTTTAGCTAATATTTTTTATTAGTCTCCTTTTCTACTAAAAATTGCTTTTCAATGATTTTTACTTCTGTGTCTACAGTATAAAAATGTATTTTAAGACTAGATTAAGTTTTCTTGCATATTGAATAAGCCTAAAATAAGTCCTTTGCTGAAATAAATGGGGAATCTAGCTTGATAGTTAAAATATTTTAGCCTAAGAATTAAAATAAATATCAGTAGACTATATTATACAAATAATATAGCAATATAGTTATTATTCTAAATTGCTTCTTTGATTCAAAATTTTTAATAATTTGCTTTTGTTATTGTTCAGAATGTACATAGAAAATACACCAATTCAACAGTTTCTCCAAGTACAGTTCAGTGACATTGACTCTATTTTTCAAGTTGTCCAGTCATTCTTTCTCTTCTTTCTGAATTGTTCCTCTCCCATTAACAAACTCACTCTTTCTAAGTTTCCTATCTTTTGAGTTACTGTTGTTAATTTGATCCCATGTTGTTGTTGTTAAGTGCCGTGGATTCGGTTCCGACCCATAGCGACTCTGTACAGGGTTTCCGAGAGTGTAAATCTTTACGGGAGTAGAAAGCCTCATCTTTCTCCTGTGTACCAGCTGGTAGTTTCGAACCTCTGACCTTAAGGTTCGCAGCCCGATTCGTAACCACTACGCTACCAGAGCTCCTTGTAGATCAATCTTAAAAGAGCACAATGCTGAAGGTGGACATTCTTTACAAATTAAGCTAAATTTTTGTTTTAAAGATTTTTTTTAATTTATTTTTTTTAAAAAAATAAGTTTTTTGTGTGAATTGAGTACAAGTTTACAGGGCAGATCATCAGTTTTACATTCAACAAATCATACACCTTGTTTAATTACAAGGATTATAATCCCCTCCATGTACCATCAAATAACAGTATTTCTCTCTATTCACTTCAGCTCTTTTTTTCTTTTTTTTTAAAAATCACTCAGGCATGTATAATAATTTACACCACCAAAGGGCACATTCTGCAAGTCTGCCTCCTGGCTGCCAACTCTTAGTCCCTCTCTTCCCATGAATCTAGAGTCCTCAGCTGCTCCCTCTCTCCATGTCCCCATCTCCTCCTCCATCTCTGGTGTAACTGCTTCTCTGGATAAAGTCTCGCATTCCACTTGTGCTCTTCTCCGTTGATGGTCCCTTTGTTTCTGCACTATAAGATTAACTACTCCCCCATTTTTGTTACAAAACTTATACCTTTACAATTGTGATAGTCGCAGTTAGTCATGGTAACTATTACTCACTATTAAATCATAAGAATCTTACCCCCATCTCTTTTTACCAGCCCCATCTAGACAAGATGAAAACTATTCCGTGGGAACTCTTTCTTCCCCACAACGTTCTTAAACTAAATTTTTGAAACCTTGTAAGCCAGTCACTTCGTGCCTTTATTGCCCCCTCATTTTAGGTAGCCAATATCTAAGTTGCCCATCCCTGTCTACCTTGTATACAGAGGGGATAGCATTGATACTTGATAGGAAGACTCCTTCCTTCTCTGTTGTATTTAGAGTTACTACCTCCATGAGTATAGGTCAAGTTCATCAAATTGTAGCAATTTACCCTTGTTTCCTTTATCAAAAATTGTTTGTTTGTTTTTATCTTCCTCTAGTTGAGTTCTGATTATCAAGCCATCGAGGCTAGGTCAAATGGGTACTGTCTGTAACTTTGGGTGTTCTTGTGCATCTCCCCTCACTTCATATCAGCTGGATACTTCAGTCTCAGCTCTAGCGCTCTCTGTATGTCCTTGTTTATGGGCTCAGGTATCCCCACGTCTCATCACACTTTGGACCAATCAGCCCTTCCTCTTCTCTCTCTTCATCTCCAGGTCAACTGGAGATTATGGACCATGGTTGAACTCAGCCCATTTCTTCATCGATGCCCCTGCCCATCTTCCACTCACCAGTAGACCATTGTGGTCACCAACAGCTTAAATGCCTGCTCATGTGTTCCCTTTGAGCTTCAGTCTTAGAAGGTGGTTTGTCCTGAAGGAACTTGATTGCTTGTCTTGATTGCTTTCTGGCAAATAACTGGCTTATTCTTGTAGTAGCCTGTCATACTGCCATTTTTGTTTTCGTTTTTTCCTGATTATCTGTCTTTGAGGATGTGTGTTCTGTTGCTCTAGCTATTCCAGGCTGCTCTGCAGGTCCTTTCTAGTGGGAATGTCCCAACTCAGAAGATTCTGGAGGGGACTCAAGATTCCACCTAAGGTCCTATACATTGCAAAGGCTCCGTAAGAGGCCTATTTCAGTGGGCAAGTTCTAGAACCCCTTTTAAGTATTCCAGTCAGTTATAGGCTGAAGATAGGCTTACAAGTTTTCTGTAATCATGGTTCCCAACATTCCTTTCTATCCCACTCAAGTGTCTATTTTACAATAGTAGGCAAGGGAAACCAATATTGATAAGACAGTCAAGCATTTTAGTATTATATCCCCTCTTCAAGCTATACCTAGATCCCTGTGTCACAGAGCCCTGTTGTTCCAAGGTTGAGAATGCATCACTATTTATCTCTGTCCCATTTAGCCCATGCAAAACTGTCTCAGTGTTCTCCTATCTACCGTCTTCTTCAACCTCCTCCCACTTCTTGTATTGCCCTCCCCAACACCTGAACTATGATGTGTCTGCCCCCTACTCTGTGCTCTACTGTCGCCTCCCTCCCCCTCCTCCTAAACCCCAACCCGAACCCCACCGTTGCAGTTACCTTATATTCCATTAACTTTTTCCTCCATTTAAGATAGTCTGTTTTATCCTGTAGTCTACATGACCTTCTCACCACCTGGATCTCTGTTCCTCTGTGTTTACCTTCTTTCACATTGTAATTGTTTTGATCATAGACTGACCTCCCAGTTCCTCTGAAATTTGTTCTTTTCTCGACTTCTCCATTTGTCAGTTGAGTTCCGGGTGATGCTGCCACGTATGTCAATCTCTGGCTGTTGTCTGTTCTTGTTGGTTCTCAGTCCACACAACTCCCTTTAGGATGTTTTTCATCGCAGGGTTGGCTTTGGCAAAACCCCTTAGCTTCTGGTTATCCTGGAATGTTTTGATTATACCATCGTATTTGATTTGACAGCTTTGCTGGATAGAGGATTCTTGGGTGGCAGTTTTTTTCTTTCAGGGTTTTATTATGTCTCCCCATTGCCTTCTTGCCTGCATGGTTTCGGCTGAGAGATCCGAGCTGGCTGAGAGATGCGAGCTTAATCTGATATGCTTGCCTTTGTACGTTACACTTGTCTTTTCCCTAGTTGCTTTCAGGATTCTGCCCTTATCTTTGATTTTAGAGTGCTTGATTACTGTATGTCTTCGTGATTTTCTTTTAGGGTCTTTCCTTCCTAGGGTTCATTGAGCTTCTTGAATGCTTATCTTTTCACTTTTTGGTATGTTAGGGAAATTTTCTTCCAGAAGCTCTTCAACTAGCTCTTCTGTGGACTTGTGTGATTCTTCCTGTTCCAGAATGCCAATAATTAATTTATTCAACTTCATCTTCTCCAATCTGAATCTTAGACCTTCTTTAGATTGTTTTATCCTTTTTTCTGCTTGTTCTTCTGTCTTGGTAGTATTGAGAGATTTGTCTTCCAGCTCACTAGTTTGGCTTCCATCTCTTCAATTCTATTCCTTTGCCCTTTCAGTGTATTGTCCATTTCTGATATTTTATTATTAATCATTTGTACCTCTCTGTAGGTTTTGAATGGTTTCCAGTGCTGTATCTATCTTGTTTGATTGTTCCTATAGGACTTTCCTAACTTCTTCCTTATTTTTCTCAACTCCATTGTAAAGTGTTTTGATACATTTTATGATAATTTTTCTGAATTCCTTCTCAGGCATTTCCAAGGCCTTCCATCCTTCCAGGATGGAGTCCAAGTCTACCTCCAGCTCATTTGTCTCAGTCACTTATCTCGTTTCTCGACATGTGCTGATATAGTCATCTTTTTCTGTTTCTTGGGCATATTCAGTAGTTCACTGTAGCCATAATACTTAGATAAGTGTGTGTTTTGGTATTTTTATGCTTTCTGATTTCCTTCAGGTAGATGTGATCAGGAGATGGGCTTCCCTTTTCACTCTTATTACTCAACTCAGAGTAACTGTCATGGGTGTTGGCTGCCT